GCCATGTGGCCAGCATGTCTGCATGGATCGCCGTTAGCTTCCCGCCGAGGCAGTACTTATTGATCTACTCATATTTGCATGTTTTTGAACCGCTAGGTTGGCAGAAGCTGGGACTAATGGGGAGCTCATTCTGCTCCCCGGATTCGAACCACTGACCTTTTGGACAGCAAGTTCAGCAGCTCAGCAGTTTAATCTGCTGTGCCACAGAAGGCTAAATGTATTTATCTTCCACCAATTATAAAATAAATGTGGTGGCTGGCATGACTGCATGGAGCACCGTTACCTTCCCGCTTTGGCAGTACCTATTGATCTACTCATATTTGCATGTTTTCAAACTGCTAGGTTGGCAGAAGCTGGGACTAATGGGGAGTTCATTCTGCTCCCCAAATTCGAACCACTGACCTTTTGGTCAGCATGTTCAACAGCTCAGCGGTTTAACCCGCTGCGCTATCAGGAGCTCCTGCATAATGCATGCACAATATAATATTCTGCTGATATGTGGTGTAGAGAAGCAATATGTTACAACATGCATGATATTAAAAAAAACATTATTTTAAGAATAACAGGAAGTTGTCACTATATATACCAAAGTGGAAGTTTTTTTCTTTTTCTTGGTAGGCTTTAGATTGCAGAACTTGTAGAGAAACACCAGAATTGGGAGGTAGATAGGCAAATTAAACTTCTGTTTTTTGACAATTGGCTGTCATTGCATTAAAACTCCAGAGATCATCCGGAGTTTTGGGTTATGGAGTTACCTTATGCAGATGATGTCCAACTCTGTCACTCCTTCCCACCTGCTACTAAGGAGGCTGTTCAGGTTCTGAACCGGTGCTTGGCCGCTGTGACGGTCTGGATGAGTGCGAACAAATTGAAATTGAATCCAGACAAGACAGAGGTACCCCTGGTCAGTAGTAAGGCAGTAGTAAGGCATAGGGTTACAGTCTGTGTTGGACGGGGTTACACTCCCCCTGAAGACTCAGGTTCGCAGCTTGGGAGTGATCCTGGACTCATCCCTGAGCCTGGAACCCCAGGTCTCGACGGTGACCAGGGGAGCATTTGCACAATTAAAACTTGTGCACTAGCTGTGCCCGTACCTTGGGAAGTGTTGGGTTTCAGTCTGTATGTGAACCTTTACCTGACTCTCTGATTGTATTTCCTGATGTCAATGAAGATATCAATGATTCTGAGGTCAATGTAGAAGATGACTGTTTGTGTAGTGAAAATCCTGGTGCTTTGGAAAGCGAAAGTCCAAATTCCCATGAGAATGATTCAGAGCCAGCCAGTGAACTTTCACTCCCTTGTAGCTCTCCAGATAATCTGACACCTGGTCCCTCTAACGAGGATAGACGGGGGCAGATTTGGCAAAGCAGAGGCGAAGCGCAGAGTTTACGGAGGTCAGCTAGATTAAGAGAAATGCAAACACGGCCTTCAGGCACGTCATGAAATATATTTCTATGCTTTAAAAACGCTTGGCCTGGATGCCCATTCAGTCCAGGCATCGTTTCAGATTCATGTGCAGACTCTTGCAGTTCTCCTGCTTCCAGTTGCTTTGTTCCAAGGAGTTTTTCTAGTGCTTCAAGTACGGTTAGTGGATTGCTAACAGGTTCCAGGATTTAGCAGTGTTAATGTGGGTTTTTGATCTTGTTCATGGACATTTCTTGTTGCTGATTTTACTGTGGCTTTTTACTTTGCATATTTTCCTCTATTTTTGTACTCATCTTTCATCAATAAAAAGGTTCACTGAAGTCAAGTGTGGTGGATTGTTGTCTTAGGGTCCAGTTTCCTGCTCTGGGTTGCAACAGGAAGTCTGACTTGGCCACGGTAGTCCACGCTCTGGTTACATCCCGTATAGATTACTGCAACGCACTCTATGTGGAGTTGCCTTTGAAGACTGCTCGGAAGCTTCAATTGGTCCAACAGAGGAGCATACTACTCCTCTGTTTCGCCAGCTCCACTGGCTGCTGGTTTGCTACCGAGCACAATTCAAAGTGCTGGTTTTAGCCTATAAAGCCCTATACGGTTTCGTTCCAACTTACCTATCCGAACTTATCTCTCCTTATGAACCATCCAGAATGCTAAGATCTTCTGGGAGGCCCTGCTCTCGCTCCCGCCTTCCTCACAGATGCGTTTGGCGGGGACGAGAGACAGGGCCTTCTCAGTGGTGGCCCCTCGAGTGTGGAATGCCCTGCCTAGAGAGATAAGATCGGCCCCCTCCCTCCTACCCTTTCGAAGAATGGTAAAAATCTGGCTTTTTGAACAGGCCTTCCCAAATATGACATAGATATATGATATTATGAACAATCGACGACGCAACTGGACAATGATTTGAGATGGAGACGCTTTGACAATGTTTTTAAATGCTATGTATGGTTTTTATGTTTTTATATTGTATTTTAAATTATTTATCATTGTTTTAATTTGTTGTAACTGTACCGGCATCGGATTGTTGCCTATTGTTAAGAGCTCTGAGTCGCTCTTGGGCTGAGAGGGGCAGTATATAAATGTAGTAATTAAATAAATAAATAAATACGAATCAAATACGTGTGAAAAAGATCTTGGAGTCCTCGTGGACAACAAGTTAAACATGAGCCAACAATGTGATGTGGCAAAAAAGCCAATGGGATTTTGGCCTGCATCAATAGGAGCATAGTGTCTAGATCCAGGGAAGTCATGCTACCCCTCTATTCCGCTTTGGTTAGACCACACCTGGAGTACTGTGTCCAATTCTGGGCACCACAATTCAAGAGAGATATTGACAAGCTGGAATGTGTCCAGAGGAGGGCGACTAAAATGATCAAGGGTCTGGAGAACAAGCCCTATGAGGAGTGGCTTAGGGAACTGGGCATGTTTAGCCTGAAGAAGAGAAGGCTGAGAGGAGACATGATAGCCATGTATAAATATGTGAGAGGAAGCCACAGGGAGGAGGGAGCAAGCTTGTTTTCTGCTTCCTTGGAGACTAGGACGTGGAACAATGGCTTCAAACTACAAGAGAGGAGATTCCATCTGAACATTAGGAAGAACTTCCTGACTGTGAGAGCCGTTCAGCAGTGGAACTCTCTGCCCTGAGGTGTTGTGGAGGCTCCTTCTTTGGAAGCTTTTAAACAGAGGCTGGATGGCCATCTGTCGGGGGTGATTTGAATGCAATATTCCTGCTTCTTGGCAGGGGGTTGGACTGGATGGCCCATGAGGTCTCTTCCAACTCTTTGATTCTATGATTCTATGATTCTAAGGGACATGAAAGGCACCGCAGACTACTTCAACCAGAGAAATCAGCCATAGCAGAGTACCTGATGAACCAGCCTGGACACAGCATATTATTTGAGAACACAGAAATGCTGGACCACTCTCACAACCACCATGTCAGACTACACAGAGAAGCCATTGAAATACACAAGCATGTGGACAATTTCAACAGAAAGGAGGAAACCATGAAAATGAACAAAATCTGGCTACCAGTATTAAAAAAACTCTAAAATTACAACAGCACAACAACAGAGAGTAAACAATCAGGCACATCAAATCACTCTCAACAAAAGATTCCCCCTAGGCACTTCCAAGCCATTAAATGCTAATCAAGGTGGTCAGTTGAAACATTCACACCTAGCTCCAGCAGACAAGAGTCCTTTGTCCCACCCTGGTCATTCCACAGATATATAAACCCATTTTCCTACTTCCAACAGACCTCACTACCTCTGAGGATGCTTGCCATAGATGCAGGCGAAACGTCAGGGGAGAATGCCTCTAGAACATGGCCATACAGCCCGAAAAAAATCTACAACAACCCAATCTCTGCTATGTATTTATTTGACTTATAGTCTGCTTTTCTTCCATAGCTGCTTACTTTGGATGACTAAAGCAAGAGAACTAAAATAATCTGAATATTTGAGACAAGTGTGAATGTTGCAATTGGCCACCTTGATGTGCATTGGGTTGTTGTAGGTTTTTCCGGGCTATATGGCCATGGTCTAGAGGCATTCTCTCCTGACATTTCGCCTGCATCTATGGCAAGCATCCTCAGAGGTAGTGAGGTCTGTTGGAAGTAGGAAAAATGGGTTTATATATCTGTTATGGAGTGGGAGAAAGAACTCTTGTCTGCTTGAGGCAAGTGTGAATGTTGCAATTGGCCACCTTGATTAGCATTTAATGGCCTTGCTGCTTCAAAGCCTGGCTGATTACTATATGGGGGAATCCTTTGTTTGGAGGTGTTAGAAGCAATCAGCCAGGCTTTGAAACAGCAATGCCATTAAATGCTAATCAGGTGGAGCAATTGCAACATTCATACTGGCTCGGACAATGAGGGATTGCCTAAGTAAGTAAGTAAAGTAAGTAAGGATATATAAACCCATTTTCCTACTTCCAACAGACCTCACTACCTCTGAGGATGCTTGCCATAGATGCAGGCGAAACGTCAGGAGAAAATGCCCCCAGAACATGGCCATATAGCCCGGAAAATCCTACAACAACCCAAATAAATAATTTTTTATGGCTGTTGTCGATTTTCCCTTTCTTTTCTTCTCAATTGCTTCATTACATTGCGATGTTTACTACTGTATCCTGCTTTGAGAATGTTAGTCCTAAAAGGCTCGTTTGTAGCTGTTTTAATTGAAGGACATAGATTGCCCTTCCATCCCCGAGAGGGAAGTGGATTTAGTCGAGGAGGAGGTTGAGAGCAGTACTTTGTTAAATTATTCTCCATGTAGTTAATTAGTGGGGGACTTCTGATGTTGTCTTAACTGAAGTCCTTTTGCCCTGACATTTTTGGGCTTCAAGACTGATGAAATGCAACATCTGCTTGACAGAAACCGTTTTAAATGCTTCTAGTTGCACATAGAGGTAAAATAATAGTTCTTTTCCTTCCACAGTTTGTTGTTATCGGATTCAAAAATGCCGACTCGGGGATTTACTCAAATTCTTCTCTTAGTGGAAGCAAACTACGCAGGAAATACTGGACTCTTGGCTGGCTTACAGTGTAGGATTTTTGGCATCTGTCCTGCTTGAGAAGAGCAAGCCGGTTTATTAGCTCGTAGGTGTGAATATAGTTGTCCCTGATGTTATCAGAAGGAAGGTGATGATGTCTCTTCATTGTGGGCACGTCTCATTTGGAAGAAGTGGCTTTCTGGGTGTTTCTGGACTCAGTTTTACCTGCAAGTCCTAAAGGACCAATTTTGTGTTTCCAGGGCTGTGGTTTTTAGCAGCAGCAGCAGCGTTTTCTCTGGCATTTTATTTTATTTTTTCTTCTCCTCCCGTAGACTTGGCAAAGACTCTGATAAGTGACGTAAAAGAAGCAGAGGATCCTCCGATGGAGGCACCCCCGGGAAACCCGCTAGTTCTTTCTCACACCTTGCAGGAGCTGCTGAGCAAGGACACGGTGCAGGTAGAGCTGATCCCGGAGAAAAAGGGTCTCTTTGTCAAGCATGTGGAGTATGAGGTTTCGAGCAAGGTAATGCCGCTTGCTGTTAAGCAGAGGGAAGACTGGGAATCGTTTTCTCAAGCTGCTTTTCTTTAGGGCACTTGCTTGATTGAAAGTCTCTTGGGCTTGAAGAGACCAGAACGTCTCAGATTTGTTTTTGTCTTGGTCTTGGATGTTTGTATTGTGGGTTCACGGCAAATGCCTGCCTAGGATAGTCCTAGGAATGGGGATTATTGCACGTATTCAAGTATAAGCCTAGTTTTTCAGCCCTTTTTTTAAGGCTGAAAAACTCCCCCTCAGCTTATACTTGAGTCAAGGTTATTTATTATTTAACTCTGTTATTATTGTTATTTTTATTACATTTATCATTTTATTCTGTTATTACTACATTTATTATTTTACTTTATTATTGTTGTTATTGTTACATTTATTATTTTACTCTATTTATTATTGTTATAATTACATCCCTAATTTTACTCTATTGTTACTGTTATTATTACATTTCCATTATTTTACTCTATTATTATTGCATTTATTATTTTACTCTATTATTGCTCTTCTTATTGCATTTCCAGTATTTTACTCTATTATTATTATTATTATTATTATTATTGATATTACATTTCTTATTTTACTCTATTTATTATTATTATTATTATTACTACATTTCTTTTTCTACTCTTATTATTACTGTTATTACATTTCTTATTCTACTCTGTTACTATTATTATTATTACATTTCCATTATTTTAATCAATTATAATTACATTTCTATTATTTCACTCTATTATTATTATATTTATTATTTTACTCTATTTATTATTATTATTATTATTATTATTATTATTACATTTCTTATTCTAGTCTATTATTCTGTTATTGCATTTCCATTATTTTAATCTATTATTAATTTCTATTATTTTACTCTATTATTACTGTTATTATTATTATTATTATTACATTTCTTATTCTACTCTGTTACTACTGTTATTACATTTACATTAATTTACTCTATTATTATTATTATGTTTTTATTTTATTCTACTTCTTCTTATTATTATTATTACATTTCTATTATTTTACTCTATTATTATATTTATTATTTTACTCTATTATTATTATTATTATTATTATTATTACATTTCTTATTCTACTCTATTACTATTATTATTACATTTCCCTTATTTTAATAAATTATAATTACATTTCTGTTATTTTACTCTATTATTATTATATTTATTATTTTACTCTATTTATTATTATTATTATTACATTTTTATTCTACTCTGTTATTACTATTATTATTACATTTTCATTATTTTAATCTGTTATTATTACATTGCTATTCTTTTACTCTATTATTACATTTCTTATTCTACTCTATTATTACTGTTATTACATTTCCATTATTTTACTCTATTATGTTTGTTTTGCAATTCTGGGATCAATAAGAGGAACAATGATTTTACATACAAGATACTTAATCATTGTTTAACAAATCTCATTCACTTAGTCAAACAGTAAAAAATGGGCTACAGTCGTAAGCAGTCATGGTAGAGCAGACACAAGAATGTGCATGTTTTCAAAGATTTTATTGGAGCCATTTGCTTGCACCTGAACAGACATAAGGACTTCTGAAAGTGGAAAAACAACTTACTCGCATTGGTGCATGACTGGCTGCAGTAAAATTTTCAAAACACTTCCAGCTGATTGATAGCTAAAGGGAGAAATTCAAAGTGTCAAACTAGATTAAGCAAATTGCATATTTCCCCTAGAGTTGTGAAAAACGTCTGTTTGTCATTGCATTTGATTTTCCTGAACTATGCATTTCATATTCAGAATGTTGTTGTTTTTTTTACTGGTCATTGGAATGTGAAACAAGTCGAATGTGTTGAGGCAAATCCTTCTGGGTTGTTGTAGGTTTTTTCGGGCTATGTGACCATGTTCTAGAGGCATTCTCTCCTGACGTTTAGCCTGCATCTATGGCAAGCATCCTCAGAGGTAGTGAGGTCTGTTGGAACTAGGAAAGTGGGTTTATATATCTGTGGAATGACCAGGGTGGGACAAAGTACTCTTGTCTGTTGGAGCTAGGTGTTAATGTTTCAACTATTTATTTATCGTGTCAGGGGCAACCAGACCATTGCATTACATTTCTAACAGAACAAAACAATCAAACAGATAAAACACAAAGTTTGCAAGCTTGGTAGTTGATTAAACGTCCTTTGACCAGTATCTGGCCACTTGGAGTGCCTCTGGTGTTGCCGCAAGGAGGTCCTCCATTGTGCATGTAGCACAGTGGTTCTCAACCTGGGGTCCCCAGATGTTTTTGGCCTTCAACTCCCAGAAATCCTAACAGCCGGTAAACTGGCTGGGATTTCTTGGAGTTGTAGGCCAAAAACATCTGGGGACCCCAGGTTGAGAACCACATAGCAGGACTCAGATTGCATTGCAGCAGGTGGTCTGTGGTTTCAACTGACCACCTTGATTAACATTTGATGGCCTGGCAGTGCCTGGGGCAATCTTTTGTTGAGAGGTGATTAGATGTCCTTGATTGTTTCCTCTCTGTTGTTTTGCTGTTGTAATTTTAGACATTTTAGACAGCCAGTTTATCAGCTGTTAGGATTTCTGGGAGTTGAAGGCCAAAAACATCTGGGGACCCCAGGCTGAGAACCACTGTGCTACATGCACAATGGAGGACCTCCTTGCGGCAACACCAGAGGCACTCCAAGTGGCCAGATACTGGCCAAAGGACATTTAATCAACTACTAAGCTTGCAAACTTAGTGTTTTGTCTGTCTGTTTGTTTTGTTCTGTTAGAAATGTAATACAATGGTCTGGTTGCCCCTGATACGATAAATAAATAGTTGAAACATTCACACCTAGCTCCAACAGACAAGAGTTCTTTCTCCCACCCTGGTCACTCCACAGATATATAACCCAATTTTCCTAGTTCCAACAGACCTCACTACCTCTGAGGATGCTTGCCATAGATGCAGGCGAAACGTCAGGAGAGAATGCCTTTAGAACATGGCCATATAGCCCGAAAAAACCTACAACAACCCAGTGATTCCATCCATGAAAGCCTTCGACAATACTCAGAAGTGAATTACTTAGAGGAAATATATATTCTCAGATCTCATATTCATTTGGCCATATGCAATGTTCCTTAAGTATGTACACCATGTTCCCTAGCTAGCTGTTCTGCACAATATACTTGTCAAGATAGTCAACAAGTTAATATTAACTTTGCCAGTACATACTGGGAAAAGTTAATACAGTTGTATTAACTCTGGAATGGTTTGAAAGAGGATGATCTGTCACAGTGATGACCAGTGGCACGCTTCTCCCCTGCAGAAGCACTTAAAACTTTTCCTCCATCTCTGTTGTAGTGTTTCAAGTGTTCTGTGTACAGGCGGTACAATGACTTTGTGGTCTTCCATGAGATGCTTCTCCAAAAGTTCCCGTATCGGATGGTCCCTGCGCTTCCCCCCAAAAGAATGCTTGGAGGCAAGTCTTGGGCTAATGGGATGGGGGTGGCAAATTTCAGAGAGTAGAAACATTAGTTTGCAAATCAACTTCACATCATGGTTTTACATCCATAAAATATTGGAAATTCCATAACCTTTTAGAAATAAGTGCACCATAACCTAATTGAAAAGGTAAAAATGATGTCACATCCATTTGGCAAATGTGAATCTCCATAAAAACGTGGAGATCACCTTTTTAAAACCACTAATCAAGTGTGGATCAGAATTCAAAACGATCTTGACAGATTAGAGAGATGAATGGCCAAAACTAACAAAATGAAGTTCAACAGTGACAAATGCAAGATACTCCACTTTGGCAGGAAAAACGAAATGCAGAGATACAAAATGGGGGACAATGCCTGGCTCGAGAGCAGTACGTGTGAAAAAGATCTTGGAGTCCTCGTGGACAACAAGTTAAACATGAGCCAACAATGTGATGTGGCGGCAAAAAAAGCCAATGGGATTTTGGCCTGCATCAACATGAGCATAGTGTCTAGATCTAGGGAACATGCTACCCCTCTATTCTGCTTTGGTTAGACCACACCTGGAATATTGTCCAATTCTGGGCACCACAATTCAAGAGAGATATTGACAAGCTGGAATGTGTCCAGAGGAGGGCAACTAAAATGATCAAGGCTCTGGAGAACAAGCCCTATGAGGAGCGGCTTAAGGAGCTGGGCATGTTTAGCCTGAAGAAGAGAAGGCTGAGAGGAAATATGATAGCCATGTATAAATATGTGAGAGGAAGCCACAGGGAGGAGGAGGGAGCAAGCTTGTTTTCTGCTTCCCTGGAGACTAGGACGCAACAATGGCTTCAAACTACAAGAAAGGAGATTCCATCTGAACATGAGGAAGAACTTCCTGACTGTGAGAGCTGTTCAGCAGTGGAACTCTCTGCCCCAGAGTGTGGTGGAGGCTCCTTCTTTGAAGCTTTTAAACAGAGGCTGGATGGCCATCTGTCAGGGGTGATTTGAATGCAATATTCCTGCTTCTTGGCAGAATGGGGTTGGACTGGATGGCCCATGAGGTCTCTTCCAACTCTTTGATTCTATGATTCTATGAAATTGTGGCAAATTTTTGGTGGTCTGGGCATACCAAATCACCTTGTCTCTCTCCTGAGGAATCTGTATAAGTACCAAGGAGCAACAGTAAGAACTGACCATGGAACAACAAACTGGTTCAAGATTGGGAAAGGCTTGCAGCAGGGTTGTATACTCTCACCCAACCTTTTCAACTTGTATGCAGAACACATCATGTGATTTGCAGGGCTTGAGGAATGCAAGGTTGGGGTGAAAATTGCTGGAAGAAACATTAACAACCTTAGATATGCAGATGACACCACTTTGATGGCCGAAAGCGAGGAGGAGCTGAGGAGCCTTCTAATCAAGGTGAAAGAAGAAAGCGCAAAAGCTGGGTTGCAGTTAAACATCAAAAAAACCAAGATGAGTGACAACTGGGAAATAGAGGGAGAAACCGTGGAGGCCGTGACAGACTTTGTATTTCTAGGTGCAAAGATTACTGCAGATGCAGACTGTAGCCAGGAAATCAGAAGACGCTTACTTCTTGGGAGGAGAGCAATGTCCAGTCTCGATAAAATAGTAAAGAGTAGAGACATCACACTGGCAACAAAGATCCATTGCCTAGTCAAAGCCATGGTCTTCCCTGTAGTCACCTACGGATGTGAGAGCTGGACCTTAGGGAAGGCTGAGCGAAGGAAGAGAGATGCTTTTGAGCTGTGGTGTTGGAGGAAAGTGCTGAGAGTGCCCTTAGGGAAGGCTGAGCGAAGGAAGATCGATGCTTTTGAGCTGTGGTGTTGGAGGAAAGTTCTGAGAGTGCCTTGGACTGCGAGAAGACCCAACCAGTCCATCCTCCAGGAAATAAAGCCCGAATGCTCACTGGAGGGAAGGATACTAGAGACAAAGTTGAAGTACTTTGGCCACATCATGAGAAGAAAGGAAAGCTTAGAGGAGACAATTATGCTGGGGAAAATGGAAGGAAAAAGGAAGAGGGGCCGACCAAGGGCAAGATGGATGGATGGCATCCTTGAAGTGACTGGATTGACCTTGAAGGAGCTGGGGGTGGTGATGACTGACAGGGAGCTCTGGCGTGGGCTGGTCCAGGAGGTCACAAAGAGTTGGAAATGACTGAACAAATGAACAACAACAACAAAGTCAAGAAAAGCATGACCTTGTTAGAAGTCAACTCTTTGAACAAGTGATATTCATAAGCATTCATGTAATGGCACACAGGTAACTCAGCTGTTAAACTGAAGAACCATGTCTTTAAACTGCCAAGGATAAAGACATGCCACTACAAAAATATATTTGGTTAGCAGAGGATGGTTGTTTCTTTGAAGTTGAAGTTGCCCATAAGATATACACTCCCTTGAAACCTCTTAGTTAAAATATGCACTCAAGAGACAAAACAAAGTAGTCTTCTTTAAAAATAACATCTCAGGTTTACTAACAAACTTCTTGTATATATTCAGCATACTAGTCCATAGTCCAATGTCTTTAAGCATATAGATATAGTCCAAACTGTATAACTGTACTCACTGAAGTTGTTGTAGGTTTTTTGGGCTATATGGC